AGGGCTCAATAAAAGGTGCTCCTAGAGTCAAAGTGTACTTACCCTCATTCCCCAGGTCTTCATGCGAATGGCAACCTCGCGACCGATGCGTCCCAGTCCAAGAACGGCCAGGGTTTTTCCATAGAGCTCGGTGCCGGCATAGAGCTTCCTGTCCCACCGACCCTCCTTCATGCTCTGGCCGGCGGGTACGACGGGACGGGCCAGGGAGCCAATTAGGATGCACGTCAGCTCGCAGGCCGAAATAGAATTGCCTCCCGGAGTGCTGAAAGCGACGAGAGTTTACTTAAGCGTTCCCTAAATGCCCCCGATAGACAGGCGGCGAACTGGACTGGGGGTTAAGCGGTGGCGTTTGTTGTGACTAGACAGCATTATGCAAATGTCCACCGAAAATGAGAGGAGACAGGGGGAAGAGCAAAATATGGCAATTTTCGCGCAGGGCTCGGTCTCCCTGACAATGTGGAACCTCGAGCCTTCGTCCTCCGACCTCCCCTTGGTTTGACACTCGTCGTCGTCCCTTAATTATGCGTGTCAAACGGCGTCAATTGACCCAAGTCATGGCTGTGGTTGGGGTAGAGCGATGCGATAGCGACAGCCAATCCCACAGTTCAAAAGGCGCATAATTATTTTGGGGCGGCTGCCAGATCGGAGCTTACACTGAGCGAAATACTTTGATATAGGGAAAGGGCTTGCCGGAAATGTACTTTAAGCTTTAGGCGGGGATGTGTACTTCTTCAGGCTATTTTCTTCGGTAACCTATTCATAACCTATTAGAAAAAGGGACCAGCTAAGTTCCCTGATGACGTTATAAAGTGTTTTAAAACACTTAAAAATAAAGCAAAGCTTAAGTTCTAATTATTTTGTTTTAATAAAGAACATAAATTATTTCAAGTCTCCTTCCCTGCCTACAAAAACACTTGACTAAAACAATAATTCCCTCAAGATGGGTGTTTCTGTGGGAAAGGGTGTCTATGCATATATTAGCACAGCGCTGCTTGGAATCCTTTTTGCTGAAGACGAGGACGATGCACCGGCGGCTTAAGAAGCACTTACTTGAGGACAACGACATTCTGGGCCGTGGCTGCAGGAACGTCGATGTTGTCGACACCGGCACCCGCTCGTCCCACAACCTTGAGGCTCCCGGATCCGGCGGCCAGAACTTCCGCGGTTATTTTGGTATCCGAGCGAACAATGGCGGCGTCAAAGTTCTGTTAAATGAACAAATTTAATAATTAGCAAACATATATATTTACAAGTAATTTGCGTGTAATTCCCACAACCATTGAGTTGGCCAAACAAAGTGCTCCCATTCAGGTTTTAGGTCTAACAAGAAAGAAAGCTAACTTTGGCCAGCCAAAGTTTGTATACCCTTGCAGGTAACAATTCAAATATATCATAACTAAGCCAAAAATGCATTAATTTCGATTCGGAAAGCAGTTTTGTTTTAGGTTTTATTAATTCAAAAAAACTGCATACCAAATTTAAAATTTTAAGAAATCAAATTTTTTGGCCATTTTTGCAAATTTTAATGATGTAACCCCTTATCAAATTTCGCAAAAATGGCCAAAAAATCGATTTCTTCCTGACATGTCTAGAAAGATTCGCATGTTAATGCTGATCAAGAATATATATGGTTTATGGGGTCGGAAATGATTCCTTGACTTAGAAAAATATTATTTTGTATTATATAATCGGATTTTTTATATTAAAAAACTTCATGATTTTTTTTTTAAATTAAAAATATCATAACTCGGCCAAAAGAGCATTAATTTTAAATCGGAAAACTGTTCTGTGCAAGATTTTCTACAGTTAATAAATCTGCATACTTCATTTAAAAATTTTGAAAATTCAATTTTTTATCGCAAAAATGGACAAAAAATCGATTTCTTCCTGACATGTCTAGAAAGATTCCCCCGTTGATGCTGATCAAGAATATATATACTTTATAGGGTCGGAAACGTCTCCTTCACTGTGTTGCAAACTTCTGACTGAAATTATAATACCCTGCAAGGGTATAAAAATGGAGCATCCATTGGCAACTCTTATCAACTGGGAAACCTCAGCTGCTGGAACTGATACGACATTTTCTTGAATTTTAAGAGGAGATTTATTAGGGTTCTGGCGGTTTCCGGAATTATTCGGTTTCTTTTTGGAATATTATATTAAATGTTAAACCAGCATCGTCTGATGATCCGGCTGTTGTTTTGATAAGAACCGTTCGATTAGGCCTAAACAAATGGTGATAATAATGTCTAGCGCGTTAAATTTAATTTAATTTGACACTAGTCACACTATATGTGATAAGCCTTAAGCTTAAATATGTTATTTCAGACATTATAAAAGATTTTAAGCTGGCTTTAATATGTTCTGAAATAGACATGAAATAGACATAGCAGCTTAGCAAATGCATGCTCATTTTAAGCCTGATTCCTCACATATAAAATCAATTTTAAACAGGCAAGCAATCAATCTAATCTTTTGAATAAAGAATGCATTTTAAACAAATTTGTTTGTATAAATAAATATGTCAACAAAATTCATGAAATACGCTTTGCTAAATTTTCAACCCGAATTGCACGTAATATAAATATAAACAAAATCTAGGAAAAATGGGTTCTGCCATCAGAAAATAATAAACTTTGTTTAAATTGATTTCATAGACTTCACTTTAAAACCAAGACCACAGTTTTAGAGAATGTGGGCTTAGACTTTTAAATTCAATAAGAAATATATTGCAAATCATTGTAGTAACCTAATAAATGATTAATTGATTTATAGACAATGTCTGAAATGAATTGCAGTGCTCTCATTGCTATCTCTGATTTTTCAATAACAAATAAAATGAATTCCTAAATGCAAATCGAGTGGAATGTGCTGCTGATAATACTTATGCATATGCTTTTGCTGACAAACAATTCTGTTTTTATTTTGCACTTTTAAGTTGCTGTGCTGATGCCTTACGTTTTCTTGCGCTTAGTTACAGGCTAATTGAGATAGGTTGCCAGCCACACACAGTTACATGTTGTAAGTGAAATTCATGTGCCAGCACGTGTCTTTAAACCGCACTTGAATCACTCTCAAAGGGCTTTCAATTACATTCCAGCTATCTCTCACATGGAACGACACACACTAATCCCTAAGCCCCACTTACCTTCACCTCCTTGCAGAGCTCCTCCACGGGGAGTTTCAGCTTGTAGGTAACCTTGTCAAAATAAGAAAAATGGTAAACAACTTTGATTAAAATGTGCAATCAATTAAGTGCAAGTATTGTCTGAAATGTCCACACCTAAGCGAGGTACTTGAATAAATGCATTTACAGTGATAATTCGCAGATAATGGAACATAACAGGGACCTTTTTTTGATATTAAATTATTTTTTGATTATATTTATTAAGTATTTATCATTAAAAAAATATAAACAAATATCAGAAATACTCGAAACAAATTAATTTTATTTTTTATTTACGATTGAACACTGTACTTGCAAGCAAAGCACTTGTATGGGTGTGTAGGCGTATTTGCACAATTGAAAAAGCTATATTTACAATAACAGAACTTACATTAATCCCATGCTGTTCCAGCAGCTCCACGCAGGATTTGTCCACAGCATCGCAGACAAGAACTTTCTTAATATTCAGCGGCATATTTGACTTTGTTAAAAATCTGAAAACAACGTGAACAAATTGTATTAATTTTCCGCAACAGGCGATCTGCGACACTGAGCAAGTTATACTGACTTTGAGAGCAGAACCGGCCGGCCATCGAACCTGACTTTGACAGCCGCTCCCTGCTCTCCAGTGCACTGGCGATCGCATGATAACTGAGCGGAGAGCTCCACTTGGATCCCCATTCCTCGCACAGTGCTCTCTGGCCTGCTCTTTGTGATCGGTTCCTCTTTGTGTGAGTTGTTTTCGAAACGCTTTTGAGCTTTTGCGTGCAAAACAACAATATTAACCCATTTATGACCCTGTGCTAAAAATGGATTTATTTTTTCAATTGTATATTAAAAGCTATGTTAATTTGAGGACTATTTGAGTTCGAGATCTGAAATTTGGTAAATAAAGTTAAAATGTACAGTTTTATAGTCAAAGATACTGTTAATTATCGATATCAATAGTACTAACGTATCACCAAATTCGTACTTGGGAATTTCTAGTGCAACATCAGCAATAATTACCTTGTAATCCCATCCCGCAATAATAAAACAATTGCCTTATATTTTCAATATTTTTATTGTATTTGCTTTTATTTGCAATTTAGCTTCCATTTAACTACGTATTTTCCAAAAACATATTGTGAACAACAATTGAATGCGGAAAATGAAAAACAAAAACCAACAAAACGTGGGCAAGCTCAGAAGACTGCGGGAAATCTTCCGTTCCGTCAGGTTAAAGAAAATTTACATATTTGTAAAAACAAAACAAAAAAAATATATCTATAACAAATTGAAGTATATTAAACTATTTACATACAATTCTTGGAAATTGCTGATTGGTTTTTAGTTTTCTCTTCCTTTTTTTTTACAATATGTATATGTTTTGCATGTATAAAATATTTATATAAATTTGGATTTGGATTGATATTTCCACAATTATCTCGTGTGTTCTGTTTGTATGTTGTTCGGGTGTATTCGGAGTGGGGTTCTCTCAGTTAATCATAATATATTCTTGCATTATAGGGAATTCTCAGGCGTGCTTTTGTCAAATCTTACTATCCACTTTCTCCTCCGTCTTAATATTGGATTTAGGCTATAAAAATAAGGTTTGCTTTTTATTAAAGTGGCTTGAAAAGTAGAGAAGTTATTACCGCTAAATTTAAATATATATAGGCATATCCTCTTCAAAGATTTCAGTATTATTCTCGCTATAAAATTTTTGTTTACATGCGTGTTGTGTGTGTGTTTTTTGTTTTTTGAGTTCTTGAAAGTGTCAACAAATTTCAATTATTTGGTTTAAGCTTTTGTTTTTTTCTTTCTTTGTTTTGTTTAATTGGAAATAAGATTTATTTATTTAAAAAATTCTATTTATTAGAAGCAAACCTGGGGTTTTGTTTTTTGTTTCGCAAAAATGTATTTAGGCAGTGAGCCTTTGGACCTTTCGTCCATCCATCTGATAGAAGGTTATGTAATGGAATATCTTGAATTTACCGAGTGCAGCTTTTGAATTCGAGTTGGGAAACTTAAGGCATCTTACAGACGTATCTTCAATATATTCCTATCAGATCTGATGACAATTTTCTCGACAAAGTTTTCATTTTCATTTTGCAGAAGAAGGTAACTAACAATATCTTGGATAATCTATTATTTGTTCATTACATTTCATGTTTCCTTTATTACAAAATGCCGGCTGTGTGGTATCTGTATATCGGTTTAAATTTTGTTAATTATAGTAAGAGCGCACATATGCACGTATAAATGTATATGCACCGTTTTATAAATGTATGTATCCTTTTAAATATATATATTTACCATTATTATAGTATATTGAATTACCAGTTCTGTGAATTATGTGCAATATTATGTTATTCTTACTTACACATCGCGCATCAACTGACCGTTTAAAGTTTAAACTTAAGTATTCCGTTTGCCCCTGCTTAGCTGCGAAGGATCGTATCTAGGTTTTGTTTTCAACTTTACGCTAGTATTAAAAAGTAATATTTCATTTAGGTTTAGCTAATACATAGATCATTTTTGTTTTTCCACTTTTTACAGTAAGTGCTTGCGTATCGTATGTTGCTTTCGGTTAATTTCCATTTTGTTTCATATTCTGTTTGCTCTTCAAAAGCGGCTCCAACCAGTGCCCCTGACCAATCCCCCCCTCAAATTCTCTTGTCCCCGGAGATGCACCTATATTTAATTTGAAAGTAATTTTGCAAAATACCCCTCATTCCCCCTGGAGTCCTTTTTCCATCTTCCAAAGTCATCCCCTCCTGAATGCTGCCAACAATTTGCTCTAGGTATCTGTTTCTGTATCTGTATCTGTATCTTTACTTGACGTGCGCTGTTCAAATTTGCTTTTCAAAAATTACTTTTATCACCTTGTATCTCTTATATAAAAAAAGTACTAGATCTTTGCTCTTACATCAGGGCCATGGCCTGGCCTGTCTTCTACATAGGAGTGCACCGTTCTACCGATCGCTGTCGCTGACCCCGCCCAGAGTTCGGGGCGGGTCATCAGCTGCAGTCTTGGAACAGCAGGATAGCTTCTGCGGGAGTGCTTATGGATCAACTAGCTAGTGGCTACATATAGGCATAGATTAGGAAGGTACCGGAGACACCATTTGACTGGAAAAATGTATAATATTCTCTGTGAATACAGGGTTCCACTGGAGTTATCAATTCGCAAGTGCTATCTCTGGCAGCCTCTTATCCTTTGCCGTCATCAATTCTTCTTACTCGAGGTGGCGATCGATTTGAATGCAGTGCGGTTCATCATTGTTGGGCGCTAGCTCAGTTCGACAACGAATGATCGACGAAATTTAGCGTGGTGGTTGGAATTGTAAAAGGAGTGCTCTCGTTCGGAATGGGCCAGATCAGCGTTTTTATTTTTGTCGCGACATTACGGCTACTCTCACGCTACCGGAACAATAATTTTGACGCAAGCAATTATATATATAGTATATATCGGGTGAATGATCTCTCTGGGTGGAAGATGAGGCTGGGGTGGTGTGCTTCTGTGTGTTGTTACTCGATTTGATGGTTTTTTCTTTTTTAAGGCACTGGTAGTTTAAATCGCTGTGCCTCCGCCTGGGTCATCGTTATTGCATCCGACCCGAGGCTAAAGGCAGTTCGCGAGCAACCCAACTATATAGTCACGATCGCGAACTGTGCGCTTTTTGGCAGGTGTGTGGCATGATATGGTGTGACAAGGTATCTAGGTCGATGGTATTGCTGTTTTGGCAGAGGAAAGAAGGGAAAGTGTGAGATTTTCTACATGTATGCATTGCGTTGTGGCAGGACAGTGCGTTTCGCTCAAGACGTTGTGGTTATTAAATTAATAATTCGAAGAAACTCTAGTAAGACTTTAATCAATACAATTAGAAATACCTTTATTATTAGACAAGGATTATTTATTTGTTTAGTAACTTACTATCGGAATCAGTTGGATTTATTGTTTGCCTAGAGAACTGTTGGTCTTCCCGTTATCAACTCTTTTTAAGTTATATAAATAAGTGTATCTACGTAAGGAGAAATGTGTTAGAGAAACCATTTTAATTTGGAAGATTCAATTCTTTGTCAGTCACCAAGTATAGATACTAAGATGGCAATGGTTAAGTGAGTTATGATTGCTCTTAAATGAAAAACTATTGGACCTACTTTGGAATACAACTATTAAGGGGCTAAATCTTTAACTGGAATATTAAATAGTATTATATTTTTTGGGATTTACGCTTGCCTTTGAAACGCACTGTACTCGTAAGTGCCTTCGTTTCAACTAGAAGAATACCTAGAAGGTGGGCTGATTCTGCGCAGAGGAAGAAACAGTTTGGATGCGAGAATTAGACATCGATTTGAGATTAAAGAGATTTCAGCCGGTTTCACAGTCAACTGAGTGTGTGTTGTGTGTTGTGTGTGGTGTGTATGGTGTGGCCTGACTTAGATTAAGACACGTTCACTAAATTATTAAAGCTGACACTTATGTATGTACTTAGTCAATCGATTGCATAACAAATACGAGACCCATTTTGGGGACCAACAAATGTTGTTGGGTGGCTGCTGCTTATTTAAACTTTAATTTCTTTTCAACGGGACCTGTCACTAGCTTAACTCTTAGGCTTAGATCGTTTAATTTAAATTCACATTACTCAAATAAAATCTGATTACACTTAGCTATAGCATTTAAGACACATAAGGCCCCACTTGGCATTGGGCTGCACTTCTCACTTTTTTTTTTACTTTAAAGTTTGCTTTAACTGCCGCTCTTTAACTTTAACCAGCTACTGTGTGTGTGTGTGTGTTGTGTTGTGGCTAATAAATAGATCATCGAATGGAACATTTACAAATGTGTATTTTTTTTTTTTGGCACTGCTGCCCCCTCAAAACGATACCCAAAAGGGGCTGTAACCGAACTCCCCCCCTACGTAATCATTGATTCTCTGAAGTGGTGATCTGGCTAACCGATGCGGGATGGCGACTGAAATCTCTTTAATAGAACCGATCCGTGCTCAGGATATCCTCCTCGTCCTCCTCCACGATGATGTTGTTGCGAATGGCATGCGTGACAGCCTCGACCTTGCTCATGGTGGGGCTGAGGAACTCGTCCCTCAGCGATCTTGGTGGGTGGGCAAAGGACGTGTCTTGCACGGAATAGCGATATCGTGACTGTGATTGTGATTGGGAATGGGAATGGGACGGCGGATGCTGCTGGGAGCTGGCTGGTGTGTACGAATGGGTGTAATGGGACCGGGGCTGGGGATGCGACTGCGGCTGATGCAGCAGCGGATAAAGCTCGCGGCGAGAACGGGAACTCTGCTCCAGGGAACTCTGCGAGGAGGAGGAGAGCCAGTGACTGCCCAGGGAGTACTGGCGGGGCAGGTAGGAAATGGGTGCTCTGCTAATGGGCAAAGACGATTGCCGGGGCAGGGACAGGGGCCTGGGCTTGGACCGTGACTGTGATTGCAGCAGAGACTGAGACTGAGACTGAGATTGGGACTGAGGCTGGTGTGTGGTGATGTCAAGATCAAAACTATTGTCGCGTGCTTCCATCAAACCTGGCACTCTCGCATCGATCTGATCCCACCCCTATATCCACGATTCCTACATGGCATTCAGCATTCTCCTACTACTCCCACCACCTCTGTGCGGACTGTATTCATCGCGATCGACAACGGTGGCGCCGCGCGGCAAATCCCTGGGATCATCTATCCTGGTGGAGGGTCCATAGCGGGAGCTGCTCATCCGCATTTGCGCCTCCTCGCGCTCAAAGTCCGGATCATCCAGGAGGCGGCCGCCCCGGGACAGGTGGCCGTGGTGGGAGGCACCGCTGGGACCGCTTCGCATCGCCGGATACTCGAAGTTGCGCTCGTCCAAAAGCTCGTCGCTGTTGAGGTCATAGTGCATGAGGTCCCGCTCCCGTCGCTCGTACCGCTCCCGTTCCCGTTCACGTTCGCGCTCGCGGTCTCGTTCCCGGTCCCGCTCGTAACCAACGCCTCCTCCTCCAACTCCAACTCCGCCGCCGGCGCCAACGCCACCACCGCGCTCCTGGTGGCGGCCGGAAGTCGTTTGTCGGCGGCTGTGATGGTAAGAGGATCCTCCTGCAAGACGGTCAACACGGCACAAGGTTAGTGAAACATATTCATAGAATGGCATTCAAGGGTTCAACGTAAAACGAAAAACAGAACCAGAACTAAAGCATTCAAAAGGGGGTCAATAGGCGATAGTTTTTGGCGGGGTCAACAGGGGCTCCATATTTGGAGTTGGGTCCACTAAGAGGGTTGTGTGTTTTCTACCACCTGTCTCTAAGGGATACTCCAACTCTGTGGTTTTATGTATTTTAATATTTGGTATTTACATATTAAAACAAATAATAACTATGGGTTTTGGAAATATTCAACTTTTTAATCTTTATAAAAAAAAACTTCTTAACAATTATTATTAACGTGGTCTTTGCCTTTAATTATTAAATAAAGATTTAATGACGTATTTAACGAATTAATAATAAATTGAGTTATTAGTTACTTTTATTTTTAATCAAATTTATTTTAAACATTTTATCTTCTATATATATTTTTCAAAAATCCTGCATAAATCACCTACCTAATTCTCATAATGAATGGATTTCTTTAAAATGTAGAAGCAATACAATTTCTATATTTATTTGAACTACAGTGCTTATTAGGATGTAACAATGCTGAAGTATTAATAATAAACTTAAACGTTTTTGTTAGGCAATTTACTTAATATAACAGAAGAATATAAAAACAACAAGCGAACAAACTTATCATCCCTAGCTTCAAAATAAGGCATGGAATGGTTTTCTGGGTTCAAGGATGCTTTCAGGGGGAGAGGTCGATATTATAAGGAAAACCAGGGAGGGGGTCATAGGTCAAACTCGATAAAAACACAAACACTTCACGGGGTGGTGGTACTCACTAAACCAGATCTAAACAACGAACGATTGGATGATTTGGTTTGCAACTTGAAAACTTGGTGAAAACATAGGGATCGATAACAACGGAATACATAAACATATTATAACTGAGCCGAGTCGGGTGGTGGTTGAGTTGTTGGGCTGATCTAGGAAAATACCCGGAAGAATGTGAGAATCGAAGATCGCGGCAGTTTAGAGCCGCACTACGCCCGGTGTAACTAAAAACAAGTACAGACAGAGATCACAGTCGGTAAGACGCACGATAGGTTTTGTTTCGATGGGTGTTCGATTGGTTCGATTGAATGGTTCGATAGATGCTCGAGGTAGCGGTTTTGCGTGCTTATATCGGTGTTAATCGATTAGTATAACTCAAACGGCAAAGAGGTAATCTTAGTCAGCTACAGTTAGTGGGCAATCTATGGGCTCTATCTCTCTGAACCACACCTGAACTCGGAGTTCTTGGCGTACTTGTACTTGTGGAAATCTGGTCGGAGATGTCGGTCGGTGGTTTGTTCCATTTGATTTGGTTTTGATACGGTTTCGGATTCGATTGTCTTTGGCTTTGTACTGTTGAAGTCGCAGTTATGTTGGTCTTGGATCTTAGAGGTTGGATCTGATTGTTCGAATTCGATTTGACTTATAGCATTGTTGTAAAGGGACCGGGTATGTCGCGTGCTGTGAATGCTGTAAAGTGTGTGTGGCCACAAAAGAATAATAGAAATAAACGAAAAGTTCAGGATACCGGAGTTCTCGCTTGGATATATACAGATACAGAGAGGTGTCTAGAAAGCGGGGTCGGAGTATAGTAAGTTTATGAAATGAGCTGTAGCTACATACAATCGGTGGCTGGTGGAGAGATGTGGATCGATTTATTTCACTGAGTTTGTGTATTATCTATACTGCTCTAAAATGGTTTCTGGTTCTACTTTAAACAAAAGGTACCCAATATCAAGTCTTCTTTCAGAGTGAAAAATTAAAAGAAACCAAAATAAACAGCGGGAAAGATGATTACCACTGGGGAAGCGAACCTACTTGAGGTCTATGTACAACAATGTATGAGTGATATTATCTGAAAATAATGACTAGCTACACTTTTAACAATGGATTTTGGTTTCGGGACCCAGTTTACTCTTTCTTTTCAATAAATATTCAAGTCAGAGGCATGTGATACTTAGTTTACGTAGTATATATTATTGGAAAATCAAACAAAACGAAAAGAAACAGTAGGAACACAATTTACCTTGGTCCCAATCGAACTCCCTATCCCAATCTCGTTCCCGCTCTCTCTCCCACTCGCGAGCTCTCTCCCGCTCCCACTCCAGGTCCCTTTCGCGATCCTTGGAGCTGCGATCCCTGTTGAACTCCCGGTCCCAGTAGTCCCTCTCCCTATCCCGCTCCCGTTCCCGCTCCCTGCTGTCCCGTTCCCGCTCCCGACTGCCCTCGCGATCCCCGCCGGGAGCGGACATCCCGCCCATCCTGGGATCCTGCTCATCGATATACTCCTCGCCATCTACTACTCGGCAGCCAGAAAGATATAGAGAGATATAGGGAGAGAGAGAGAGCCGGAAGGAGAATCGATTGGTTATCGGTACAGTCATGGGAATTTGAATTTGAGAAAGACAAATTTTAGAATTGTATTTGTATAATTGTGTTGAGAGTATATGTGGACAAGCAAATGAAAAACGTTTACTGCTGATCTGACATATATATTATGCATATATATATGCTGAGGGATGTGTGTGATGGGACGGATCTTCTTTATAGTTCGGGGTGAGAGAATGGGTGACTCTGATTTCGATTTCTGATACTGATTGAATTGATTTTCGATTTGAATTTCGCAGCTCTCTTGGGTGGGCATGGGCTGGGACTGGGTGGATTCGCGCGAATGAGTATGGCAATGCGACCGTGAATGAGCCCGGTTGGACCGGCGGGTGTGGCTTTACCTGGTGGTGTCGGACCCAGACGCGCGGGATCTGCCGAGGGCGAGGCTTCCTGCGGCAATGGGCGGGCGATGGGCGGCACTGCTCGTATGTCCGGATGTGTGGCCTTCCAGTAGGTCTGCATTTTTGGAAATGTTTTTATTTAGATCTTGTGAAGAATTGAAAGAATCTTGTAATTGTCTCACCTCCAAGTACTCGGCAATGTGCTCGCAGGCGTCTTCCAGCTGGTTCTCGTCCAGGATCACATCAAACATATCCGGCGGACATTGGGCCAGCTTCTCGGCGGCTACCATTTGCACGGAGAGGTTTTTCGCCTGCGACTTGCCGCGTGATTTGATCAAACGCTGTAAAACCTGCAAGAGCAACACAAAGCATTAATCAGAAAGCTAAGAGGATAACCGAATAGATATACCCACCTTACTACTACTAATCTTTAAGTACACTACTGTTGGCGCTAATGAAGTTTTCGCTAGTTGTGACGGATGATTGATTGTATCACAATCGAGCACGACCAGCTGGAGGGAGCGGGCCAGCTCGAAGATGCGCTCGATCTCCTCCTGCACCTTGCCGAGACAGTCGCTCCGGCTGGAGGATCGCTCCATGATGGCCCGCTTCGAGGGATTGTTCATAATGGAGCGCTTGGCCAGCGAGATGTCGGCCATCACCCGGGTGATGATGATGCGACCCTCGAACCGGTGCTTGAGGAAGTCAAAGAGGGCCTTCTGCATCATGTCGGTGACCTCGTAGCCCTTGAGGCTGGGCCCCACCAGCACAACCGGACGCATCGATGGCACCACGTCGTAGGGACTGGCCGTTTCCTGTTTCTTGAAGAATGGCTTACGCTTCTCCTTGTTGGCCGTCGCCAGCGGGGTCTTGCCATGACGTCCTGGTCCCATGGAATCTGATTCGTCACCTGAGCGTTAGTATCATGGCAAACAGGACGAGATAATGGCAACGGATGAGCGAGCTTATGATTGGTACGGTGTGAGCCAGTGCGATCGATCAGAGCGAATTGCTAGGCCAATTAATATATATAATCGTAAATACGTAGGACACGTGTGTTTGTGGGTTAAAATATATATGCAGTGTATCGAATTACCAGATCGTTCAGTGATCCTTTGTGACCTTTGTGTGTATTTTTGTTTTTGGTTTTCTGTGCCAGGTTTGTTGCAGTTTCAGAATTTGAAATTTAAACTCGGCTTGCGGCCGGTCTACGCACCATTTAATGCTGTTCAAAATGTCAACTCGAGGGTGAGGTTTCTTCCTAAAAGATATAACTTAACGCTAGGCGAATATGGCGTGTTCTCTAGGCTTTACATAACTCTAGGGCTAACTGATTAATTAGATACGGGATTTTTAGTAGGTTTAACTAGGATTAAATACGACACAAATAACAACGTGTTTCAGAGCCAAGGTACAAGGACTTCACAGAGAGAGTTGATGAGTTTTTGAAGTGAAAGTTTGTCCTTACATTTTAGTTACGTTGCGGTTTCAGTTTTTCCATTTATGAAAATCGTAGAAATATAATTTGAATTATTTCAGAAATATATACATATATTTTTCGAGTCAAAAGTACTAATTGTTTGCTAATTGGGTTGGTAAAAATTTAGCAATATTTGTGGGTAGAACACGCAATAAAAGTAGGATTGTCTTTAATGAAGAAAGAGTATAGCCTAATATATAATTTCATAAATAACTAGCTGAATACTAAATATTAACTCGTTAAGAATATAGATGTATAAGCCCGCCTTAATCTTATTTTCAAAAATATTTGTAAAAAGATTTGAAATATATAATTCAGATTGATTGAAATGGATAGCTGGATTTTCCAACCCAATTTAGAACTCAAGAGATCTCGAATATATACTGTACTGAGTACAGAGCTAGCGATAGATTTAGCGATTGAGATGGATTTCTGAGTTTCTGGTGAGAGGCGAGAGACAAACCTGTTTTTTTCTTGCGCGGTGTTGTACTGTAGGGATCTTGGGTCGCGTTGTGGTTGTTCATTGGTTAGTGTTGTCAACCGTTTAGTGTTAGATAAAACAGAGAGTTTGAGTGCATTTAATAGTGTTCACTGTTGGCTAATGTTAATTCGCAAGCAGACCATGAACGAGGAGCTTAGATTTGGACAGCAGCTGGAGCTGGCCAGCACGATAGGATGAGGCCCACGAAATCGTTTTGTGAGTTCAGTAGGTCGCATCCCATTCAAATTAAAAAAGAAAGGATACAATTTGCAGGGCTGTGTTGTTAAAGCTGAGTAGGTGTGTTTTCTTTTGTGTGTTTACGGTTTACAGAAAAGTGATTTTTGGGGTAAGTTCTATAGGCAGTCTAGGCCGATCTGCAGAGGGATTCGGCTTTTTACATGCTGGGAACTAGGACTAGCTCTAGGCCAATAAACACATACATATGTGGGCCGTTGGTGAACTCGATAAGCTTGGGAATTGCACTTGCACTCTTTAATATGGATGTCGCATGATTTATAATTAGATCAAACACAAAAGTACGAAATTACGGGAATTTAGCTTGGCCCACTTTTGGTTCTCTGATTTGGTTCGCTTCAAATGAAAACATAATAACATCGTCTCTCCAAATTACAATAAACATCGATCGAGAAGGAGCTCGGCATCCGCCGGTTGGACACATATGGAGATGTCCATATTAACTTCGGACCAGTATGCACATACTGTGACCGATTCTTTTTACAAAAGTAAACACATTACATAGAAGACAGCGAAAAATATACAGATTGGAAATTAATTCGATTCACAAATAGTTAACGATACGAAATAAAACCTCGCCCAAAAGAAATCAGGAGAATGAAATGTGTGTCATACCAGGTGTGGGGGGTGTGCTACCTCGAGATGGCTCCGCACCTGCTTGTCCGCCCGCACCAAGATTCCCGCTCGACGAGCCCTTTGTGCCATACAGTCTTGAGGGTCTGGTTTGGTTCTGAAAACGGGAATTCGAAAGGAGATTATATGGAGCTTTCTCAAGAATCGCATTATTAGATAGCCCAACCTGCATGCGAATGTTGTCTAGCTTAGCGGGGCTGGGTATGAAGCCCACATCACAGCCCTCCTTGACCAGCCGGCCGATCCACCAGTTATTGTCGTACTTCTCCTTGATGTGCAGGAACTCCCGCATCTCGAACGAAACAGCGCCGCCCTGCACCGGCGAATCGTCGTCGATGGCGCCATCGTAAGCTACGTTGGTTCGCACAGCGAACGCCACTGGTTTGCTCTGTAATTAACGGGGAAAATGTATTGAGCCAAAAATATAATATTTAATATATGTATTTTACTCACCCTCGCTTTATCCAACTGGCTTAAGGCCTGACGTTCCTTTTCTCGCCGAAGCGATTCCTTTTCCTCGTCTAGCGACAGATCGGATGACGGTTGTGAGTAGTTCGAGTCGGCAGAACCCTGGAAAAGCCAACAGGAAACGAGGTCAATATACAAAATACAAAATTCACTCAGGCCAAATAGGGCTGCAGGAAGATACTAAATTAATTTGGCCAGAGCCATCTGAAAGCCATAATCAAAACAAATTAAATTGGCCCGCTGCCAACGGGGCGAATAATGCAGCGCACTATGCCCGGATTTTAATGGCTCTTTGTTGCTGTACGTGTGGCGCAACAGTTGCTATCAAATTCTTTGGCCATGACATGAGTCAAGACCAGGCCAAAATTGAATATTCAAAGCAATTAGTATGACAATATTGATGTATACATAGCACTTAGACGCTAACTTGATTTTGGCGAACATTTCCTAGTTTAAAATGCCAAATACTAACCCTTTGAGTTTGCTTAAAAGGTGTTGATTTGGGTTCATAGAATTCGTTAATACCCTAACGCAATTCTTGTAATTCTCGCTGAGGGCAAACGGTTTCGTAAAAATTAGATTTATGTATAAAGCGGTAGTCGGTATCAAGGAGCATCCGAGAAAATTGCTAGTTTAATGTATATGCAAACGTTGATAATTTTCCCTATTACTAGTGGGGTTTTAGTCCTGACAGAAAGTTCTTGTTAGGAAATCGTTTTTCATCAAGAGAAGCCAAGCGCAAATGTACAGTTTCCATTATTTATAAGAAGACTTAATTAAATAAATCCATTATATATTCTCTTAATAGTTTTCGCTTAGCACCTGTGTGAATAGCTTGTTGTAGCCACTCTGGTAGGACGGGTAACCGAGGCCAAATCGAGACTCCCGATGTTGGCCACCCTGAACGGAGGGTGCATCCGAGGAGGAGGCGCGCTGCACCATGGGCCTGTCAGCCCGGTAGTCTTCTTCGAACGAGGATATCTTGCCGGCGTTTGCGACGACAGGGTGCGACGATAGGAGCAGCAGCGCCAGCACCGCCAGATGGTGCGATGATGGTGGCGATGGCGACGGCGTTGCCGATGATGGAGATGGAGGCGATGGCTGGCAAGACGTTGAGCTGGCAATGATTACGTATATTCGAAGACTATTCCGGAGGGTGACTAGTTTTCTAGTCGGTTTTTAAAGCGTTTTTAGTTGTAACTTTTGTTTTCTTTCTTTTCTATTGAAACATTTTTTTTTTTCGTGGCTTCTGAGTTGTTTCATGAAACCTTTATTCACTTGGTTTTGTAATACAAACTTTGTATATTGTAAAAAGATTATAAAATCACGCTATTCTCAGTCACACACAAAAATGTATGCTAGATATTTTTTCCCCAACTTCACTTATGGTTATTCCGAATTTGTTACTATTTTAACGTATGTTTTTTGGCAGGACATGAAGCATCTATTAGATTTATCTATACAAAAATTATTGCACTTGTTTTTTGATGATTTTTCTCGTAGGTTTTGTGGGTTTTTTAGCTTTTGTAGCATTGACATTGGCAATATTTGGTGGTTAACAACAGCAATCAATTTGATTTTGACACTGACACAAAAACAGCGAGTGCGACAGAGAGAGACAGATGCACAGCGAGAGCGAGAAGGAGAGAGAGAGGAAGAAAGAGCGAGGCAATTGTCAAAACTGATTGGAAGCCACAGGCACAAGAAATAACTTTAAATTGTTAACTGGAAGGGATATCCGCAGCCATTTTTGTCTAAAATGATTTGCATATGGCCTGTAACTGATTGCTGATCCCGAACCCAAATTGATTGAAGTTAAAAATAGGAATTTATGTCAGTGGGGTCGCGCTTCTCTGCTCACATCACTTTTTTTTTGTATTTTTTCTAGTATATGCACACACACGGAAAGAAGTGTACTGGAAAACACACGGCAGTGGGGGCGGTGGGGCTGAGAGGGATTTCGCGAAAATGTGACCGTTGTGTGCGTTGATATCAAACCGAATCCTTCAGATTTCGAATCCTTTCGCTGGCTTTATCTCCCGTTTGCTAACTGCACTTGGACTTTATTCAATTCACATCCCTGGATTTCGATTCGATTCGACTGTCCGACACTCACACGGTTCTACTCCGCACGCTAACTGAATCGTTTCTGTATGTGGAAGGCGACGAACGAAAAGTCTGCTCCGCTCCGGGAAATCCGTGTAGAGTTTTCTCGCCTGCTTCCAGTGCGTAAATGCTTCACTCAGTTTTTCAGATACACCAACATTCCCTCACACTCACACACACACATGCAGCACTACCACACGCACACACAGCGTAGTGAATGTAAACAAATTTCGCTTTTCAAGAGCATCTGGCCCGCTTTTGCCCACTGTGCAGGTGGAGTTGTTTCTGAGGCCAAAAGGGTCTGCTTTATACTCCCTCCCCCACGTCATTCAAAAGAGGTAACTGGTCAACGGTGAGACTGGAAAATCGATAGCTCCAGCACTTTTCCGGGTTAAAGGTGGCTAAGGGAGGGAAGGGTATGGGAGGGGAGGAGAGGTCCACCTGTTGGCAGCCCCGCCAATTGGCCGCGAGCGCCAAAAGCTGTTAGAGGAAAGAAAGGGTTACAGCTGTTGGCCACAAATTGCTCGCACATATTAAGCATACGTAAAGCTAAAGCGATTACACAGGTAAATACCTGGTTATTGCCATGTCAGCATTGCCAGGGTTTTCACAAGTACCAATATTAACTGATTTTCTTGTTTTTGTTAAGTGACAAAGTTAAGGAATTTAGCTAAAAATGCACTTTTGCATACAACACAAACAATGCCTAGTTCGGGGGTTACTACCATATTCTATATTATTACATTATAGTTCGGAACTTATTTAACCTTTTCCGGTTTCTAAATTTTTTATAAAATACTTATATTTGAATCTCTAAAAATTTGATTCCAGCATTCAATTAAATATTACTTTAGGAGGTAGAACAAAAGTGAAACAGATAAAAATAAAGTTTTACATATAAAAGCAACTTTAATTAATTGTAAATTAAAATCTCCAAAGAAGTGATTTATTTAGTATTTTCGCTGCCTTTACTCTGTGTGTCCCATAACGTAAACATTACGCCTTCCATTTCCTCACTCAGAATGACAGGAGGTGAGAGCGTGAGAGAGCGCCTCCATTATTTCCAGGCGAGCGACTGCAGTTTGACAGCTCGCTGGGCGAAGAAGAGAGCGAGAGCAAGGACGCATGCTCTGTTACCAATTCTCCAATACCATTCCGCGCAGGCGCCATCTCTTGGTCTCCACTCTCCGTTCTCCACCCGTTTTTAGGGTGGCCTCCCACTTGCAAGGAAGGTCGCGGGGCGATGATGGTCGCGATTTGCGTTTACACATTTCCAAAAAGGCAGTGCCAAAAACAACAAGAGAAAAAGAAAAAAACAAAGGGCGCACAGCGAAGGGGTGCCCATTGTGCGGGTCGATTCTTTGTTTACCTTTCGCCGATTGCCGATTGCCCAAAGAGCCATCAAACTTCGCCCCAACAACTAGTAATGAACTTTGGTTGCCATCGAAATCCCTGAACAGCCCACTCACCATGCACCACCCACACCCCCCTTTGTTCGCTAGTTTTTGCTTTTCTTTTTCCTCCTTTCCTTTTTTTTTTGTGGTTAGGTCAACGCTCTTCTGCTATTTTCCAGTGCAATTACCCACTGCTCGACCCCTTGACAAATATTTTCATGGTCAGCCCCGATTGTTGCCTGCTTTTCCATTTTTTCCGCTTTTCCTCCTGCACTGTCAGCACTTTCCGATGGATCCGCAATGCATATTTGCTTATCCCCAGTTCTATTTACCTCCCTGTGAAGTCATTTAGACCACTGAATAATAAGGATACAAATCTAGTGGCTTAGAGAAACTATTTCAATTACATTTTTTCAATATATCAATGAAATATCTGAACCTATACCGAAAATAAACAATTAAAAAATCCAAATATGAACATGATAATCTCTCTAAAAATATTTTAAAAATTTACAAATAATTTTATACAGAATTTAGTAACATTTTTACAAAACACTTACAGCAGCTAATTAATTTAATAGACACTTGGAGTTAGTTGCCCCAAGTTTAAATTCTACGAATTAGTATACATGTCCTCTCTCACCACAAAGAAATGCATATTTTTGTGGTGTTCTGAGAGTCCTCAGAAATAAAAACAAATCATATGCGCATGCATGCAAGGGGGAAACCCGAGAATCCGCCAAGTTGTTTACGAGCACCGCAAAAGTATCAACATTGAATGGGTTTACGACCATGCCGACCGTGCAGATCTCGAAGATGAGTAAGAGGTGCGATAGCCAAAGCCCCCGTTTACCCCCTCAATTGTCTGTGAAAGCCAAGAGAAAATGACAAAAACACAGGAAAATGGCAGAGGAAAACAGTGCGTGGCGAAACTATAAGGCACAGTTAGAGCAATATGCAATATTTTTGATGTTTTTTTTTATCAAGTTGCTTATAACTTTTATATTTAATTTTTTTACATTCAAATATTCCAGCTAGCTTAAAAAAGGCTTTTAAAATCGAAAATAAGCTGGTTCCCTGTGGGCCACCCTGTCGTATGAGTAATGCACAAGCCTCTTTTTTAACCCAATCACTCATCCGCCTCGTTGCCATATATTACTGATACGCACTGTAGGCTCTCCGTGGGCCTGTCTGTGTGTGTGTGTGTTTGTGTATTTAAATGGTGGCAAGCAGCCTGACAAGCTGGGCGAGCAGTCAGCGAGCGATCGAGTGGATAAAAATATACAAATTCCGCCCGGGCCCGGGGGCAGGGCCGCGACACTAAATCAGGTAAAGAATCCGAACCCCAGGGGGGTAAGGACAGCCAACTTCATCCCAGTAAAGCTGGGTAGTTGATCTCCGCCACTTCGACAACAACTCACCCGTCGGTTCTTGTTCCTAAAGGGCTTGTAGGACTTGCCCTTGTGCTTGGCCCCCAGATGCAGCTTCTTCATGGCGGCCACTCAATGGAATCACTCGGGAGGGAGCGGGAATAGTAATGGAAAAACTTAACTTCCTTTTGGGTTAATACGTTTCGCGCGAATTGTCGCCACCGAGTAAATTACGCAATCATTTTTGGAATCGTTTCTGCGGTCGCACAGCAAAATAAACAAACACTCAGGCGTAATGGCCACTAATCGTTAAAATGGCCAGCCAGCACACATCGAATTGGGTCACAGCTTGGCCGCCTCGCAGACCGACGGACACATGGCAGCGATTTCGCGGGACACTAACCACCGGAATCGTGTCCAGCCGCAGCTCTATATATCAAAACTGCTGGAATATCGGATCTATAAGGCCGATCTATATGCGTGTAAGCTATATAGAGCAGATAGCAGATCAGAGCGGACGACGAAAACGACCGAGCACACAAGAGACAGCAATTTCGACTGACAATAATATTTTTTTGGCACCCGCGCGCCGCATCCATTGACAAAAATCTTCTACGAGAGAAGGCAGATCGGAGAGAATCGTTTGAGAAATGGGAAATTCAAGAGGGAAAATGCTCGGAAAATGGTTTTCAATAATCCGTTTAATGACGACGGCTGCAGTAATAATACAAACACAGCAGCAGCAGCAGCGCAAACAGAGCAGCAGTGACATTCTGGCTAATAGCATGTGGTTTTTCGTTTGGGAATGAACTTAAGAATATGCATGTATGTATAGATGAATATACATTTATTTTAAAATGATAATAAGTTTATTTTTTATTGAAAAATAAAAATATTAATCCAGTAGTTTTCTGAAATGTAAAGGAAATAGAAATAGTAAGAAAAACGGGTCATTTAATCTTCAAAATAACCTTTGAAAGTCAGAGTCCTCCCAGCACATTTTTAAAAGATTTTTGCAGCTATGCAAATACTTAGAAAGAATAGTCACCGTGTTTTTTTTATATTTGCTTTTTAATAATCGATTTTCAAATGCTTAAGAGTTATTCCCGTCGCTTCATCATAGATGAAACTGCAGTTCGTCTTCATTTATTTAGTGATCCTCCCTTCTAGTACTGTTGACCCTGAATTCCCTGGCTAAATCCACGCAGTTCCTCAAGCAAAGCCGCTGATCCTACTCTCTGCTGATACTGCTGGTACTGCTGCTGGTTTGGGTATCCAGTGTAAAGTGGCATCTGCTCGCTGTAGGCTCCAGCAGATCCATAAGCCGCTGGCGCCGCCTCTTTGGCACAGGGCACGGGCACCAGATTTGGCTGGCAGCTGAACAGGTAGTTCTTTGGGCACGGAGGAGCAGGGTAGCCGGAAGGAGCCGAGTAGCTGGAAGGTGCCGAGTAGCCGGAATTCGGGCAGGAGGCGCCGGCAAAGGCCACAAGTGAAACGACGATCAGAGCGAAGAACTTCATGTTTAATGCTGGATTTTACAATACTGTTACTTTGCCCACAAAACGAGCCACTTTTATAGGGTTTTTGGTGGGGGCTCGACAAACTAAAACTTTGCATTTTTTATGGCAGCTCGGAAAAAACTGCAAAGCCGGCATATGACCAGCGAAATTGGGTGAAATTGAGCTTTGTCTCCATGCGGTCTGTTCTGATTTTAATGGTGAATCCCAAAACAATTAAATAATAATGTTTAAAGTGCAAGAAAAAGGTCGTCAGCTGCTTTGTGACCCATTAATATTGCTCTTGTTGCGTTAAATGAATTTATTTAAGAAAGTTTTATCTGTTTAGAATGTTATAGGTTTTATTAGTACATTTTACGAGTTATTCGAGTCGTTGTCTTTTAGCTTTATCTTTTCTTGATAATTAAGCATTTCTAACTCAAGTTATACTTCATTTCAATTTAAGAGCAATATCTATTTATGTTTAAAGCTATTTAAATTCACAAGAAAACTGAACAATATGCTTCTTATTGTTTTTTACATTCCAGTACACTTTACATATATTTTACAAGTGAAGTTGAGACTCAAACCATACGATAAATGATTCTATTTAGTTGGAGAGTTTTAGTATTTTCTTTACGAGATTCGATCGTTTTCAATATCGTTTTATTTGTTAAGCTTAAATTTAACAATAATAATTGAAATGAACCAACAAAATGTATTTCAACAGGACCTAAGCTGCACTAAACAATATTTACCCATTTTTTGAGACAATTTGCATTTCAATTTATGACTTCTATAGGTCATAACTTGATCTCAAAACACTAATTGAGCCGAAACCATAAATCGTAAATTTGAATTTGGAGTGCATAAATTTTGAAGCCGACTTTTTATATTGATCTGATGCAAATAAAGCAAATATAAATTTCCAAGAAGAAAGGCAAATGCTACATTTTTGAAAGAAGCTGAGTAATTGGTATTATAGGTTTATTATTAAATTTGATGGTCAATAAATAAAAAGCAAAAAAAAAATATTCATATGTTAAAATAAAATAAATACAAAATAAATACAAAAACTGAAAAAATGAACATTTAAAGATGTTTATATTTGCTTATATTTCAATCTCTTTAATCTGTATTCACAGTTACCATATTTAAAACGATGCCTGATACATCATTGTTTGCTTTATAATCAGTTAATTTGCAATATCGCATTGCTCCTGGCTTAATTCATATGTGAATACACCCAATTGTGACTGTAGATATAATATATAATTTACTGAAACTAAGAAATAATAAGCCTTGCCTCATGCGACGACTGCTTAGCTTATGCGAAAGCGTGCATCAAGTTTATATTATTTGAAATCTAACATGGGCCGCAGGTAGCTCTTTCCCCCCTCACGAAATGGGAGGAGTTAACTTTAATTTTGAGAAGGATCGCGATCAAGACGGGCAATTACGCACATGCATATATACAATATATATACACGAAATGATGATCCCCCGACCCGAAATGCGAGTAGCAGACCTAAATTTTAATCATAGGGTTTGTGGCAATAGCCGGCCGCTGGCCTTCAAAGTGGGGCACACCACCAGGGGAACCTCGAGAAGCGAAGTTTAGGAAGGAGAGCGGCCGGATCGCCGTTTTGATTGCTCCCCCTAACGGTAAACAAATACTTGTTTTGGATCGGCCCAGACATGGCCCCGAGATATACATCTTAACTGGAAACCCCAATTGAAGATGGTGCACTTCTGGGTTTTCTAATGAACCCACATCGATTCTTTCGGCTCTGGCCTTGGGTTATGCTTTATGTGGCGTTTTAATTGGACTCCACTCGCCCGAATGATCAATGAATATTAAAGCCAGACTTTGTTTACTAAGCATCACGACTTTGGGGCTCCTTTCTGGCTATTCTCTTGTCTTCCGCTCCTTTTGCTCTCTTTTGACTTTTGTTTTTTTGTAGACAATGGTCGGTGAAGATCGCTGGCTTTTAATCGCCAATGGCTCGAGCCACCTGCCTTCGCTTAGACAGCGCCTTAGACTTAGTCCCAGCTGCTCCTTGACTTGGTCCTGCGGCCAAAAAAAGAGGAGGAGCAGGATCCAAGAAGGATACACACAGCAAGCTGCCTAAAAAAACGGACAAGCCAATAACATGTCTCGGTACTTAGCGGAAGGTCTGACGCCGGATCCACCAAACCTCCAGTCCTTGGCCCACGGGCAATGTCCTGGTTTCTGCACTGAGAATAATGTTTTATAAAAGTTTAATATAAACTGAAATTTATGTAAGAATCCCATTAACCAAACTAGAAATCTATATATTTGTTTCCAGTGCATCATTCACTCCGCTGCAGTCTAACATTTTTTATGGCATCTAATTTGATCGAAGCAGAAAGAGCAGCCAGGAGTCCGGATCCAGGAGCCAGGACCCAACTCGTGTCGGTAATTTAAGACACTGCTCGCTCGCCAGCCACCAACAGCAGTCGTCAATTATGAGTTAACACTGGGTTCGTTTTGGCATCGGGATCCTCCACTCGCGAACGTTGACGAAATGCCGAGCTTTGTTTTAAATTAAATTTAATTAGCGGCAGCTCAGGCGAACACCTTTCCGCCAAGGAAGCGGAACAGCGCTTGGAGTGCGCCTGGATAATTCATGCCTTTGGAACATGGCACGTGTCGACGTTGTTGGCCAAAAACAGCAGCAGCTGCGGCGAAAACAAGGCCAAAATGCCCGCAGGATGAGGCAACGGAAGGGAGGAGCACGAGCAGTAACCGGAGGAGGAAGAGCAGGAGGAGGAGGAGAAGAAGATCCGTGTGCAAGCAGCGCTAACAAAGCCGTTATAAGTGGCCCATTAACACGGTGTCAACCGCCATGCAACAGCAATTTCCGTCGCCATTGCCATTTATCGATTTTCAAATTCCATTCAAAGCGGATTTCTAGGGGTGGCCAGAGGGGGAAGCATGGAAAGGATGAGGGCTCGCCGCAAGGATACAGTCGTATTCAATTCGATTAATGGTGCCATCGAGCTGGCGGATGCACTGCCAAAACGGATGTTCTGGCCAAGAGGATGTGCGGATTGGGTCACAGATACAATTCCAGAGGGCATTCCAATTACAGGATAGTCGATGACCGTATTTGAGAACAGTTTTGATGTACAAATTTAATGTTTGGGTAGCTTTTAAGGAGCTGAGCTTCTTTTTCCAAGGTATTAAGTAGAATACTGATTACCTATATTATTTTCAGAGATAGTTTTAAGAATGGAAAACCAATATAAAGGTTGTTGAATCTCACCTTTTGGTTCCGCAATTCTCACGGCGTACAAAAGTATTGCAGTTGGCTCTGAAATTGAGCTAAGCTATTATAATCCAATCCTATTCTAGTCCGTCTTATTTACTCCAAATCTCTAGGTTCTGTAGTTGGTTTGAAGACTTTTGTCCCGGCCAGCTTTCATCTGAAAGGGAAATATATAAGCACTGATTACATATGTACATTTAGTGTAGATAAATTCGATTTTGTATATCGATAAATATCAAAGTTATGTCAATTAGAATCATAACTATTAAAAGTAATTGAAATATTATAATTAAATATAATTATAATAATATTTTTTAAACAATCAGTTCCTTCATAGACCCAAGCTTTAAATGAACGAACTACGTTTAAAATCTATAAATACTTGATATCCAAAAAAACCATCCCTAGATCAAGATGATCGTTAAGTAATCAAATAGGAGGCGAAACCGGAAATCGAAAATAAAACCAAGAAAAACCCCTATGGCAAAAGCATATACATATAAACATAGCACTAAAAGTATGTGAGTCTGTATGTGTCTGCCTGCATTCCTCGGCTTTTGCAATGAGAATTTCAAAGTCAAGGTTAAATGAAACATTTGCTGTGTTCTCTCTGTGTTTTGTCTCCGTTTCGCTTTGTCTTCTCCTCTGCGCGATCCGCTGGCTTGTCTGCTTTTGCAAGTGCTTTTTCGCTGCCTCTGTGTGAGTGAGTATCTGTGTGCGGCGGTTCTAACAGATACGGTACGCCACGCATGCGCACTGCGCAGTTTGCACTGCTGGAAGTGTTGTTGTCCGCGTCTGCCTCCGTCTGATTCCAGTCTGCCAGACGATGGCAGCCACGACAAGGAGTTTTTCGAGTCTGTCCGCTGTCCGCGCAGCTTGCTGTTCACTTGATCGCACTCAAGTACAGAGAGGTCTCGCGAATTTTATATTAATTATGCCCAGATCACACTGGATTAATAATATGAAATTAAACTATAAGATACTTATTTCGTTGTTAGGTGGTAAAAAAAAAAATAGGGGTTCCTCTTGAAGCAGCAGACTTTTATTTAAATGATAAATTAAAAATTCATATATATGATAGATATAACCATATTCTAGATAGGAAGATAGATTTACAGATTTTATATCACTTAAGAAAGTTCCTAAGGGTATGCAATTATTTCTGTATCACGTGGCTTAAAAGTATGCAAAATAATGATTGAGGACTTCAGTTTTTCTTGTAAAAAATGATATTTATAGTTTTCTCCCCTTCATCCAAGAACATATTAGCTTTTTTAAAAGAGTATTAATAGATCTCAGGACTCTTCCTCCAGTGTCACACACTCTTAAACATCATTCCGTGCTGAGGGACTCTGCCAAAAAGTTATCATTGTTGTTGCTACTGTTACCACCGAACCCAATGTCATGTGTTGGCCAGCGCTGTCGTGGAATTCAATTTTTTATGTACCCAAACTGCCCAAAAATAAAATAAAACTAAAGTGGAAATAAACCAAGGAACGATATGGCGAAGTTAACCTAAAGGATGCAACTTGTTCGGTGCGGCAGACAAGTCCCAGACGTGTTCATATGCCGAGGCCATTAGATGCCTCGCTGCGAGGTGTGCATTTTTCGGGTCTTCGTATTTTTGTGGCAATTGCACAGGGTTGTCACCTGCTCAGGTACTCAGGCGGCAGGTTCATTGACCCGATGCCACACCCAACCCAATGCCACTACACCCACACTAATACTTTCTCATTACGCCAAATTCCGTGTAAAGTGGCATGACTCGCCAAAAAGTTCGGATGCGAACTGTCCGAATCGATCAGCCTTGACGAGGGTCCAAGGGTCCCCCAAATGCACGTGGTACGGCAAGGAGGCACAGGCACCCAGTCTTGGATACATTATCCCAGCTTAATACATTTCCCGAGCGGTAATAAACTCTACTCCAGCTCAGACAATTGTATTGGACACAATTCGCGAGGCAATCAGGCATTTTACAAATTTATTTATTCTTTATATTGTATTAGGAAGGTGGTACTTTGAAGGAAGATATATATAGTAAAATTGTTTAAAAATGTTAGTAAATATTATCAATGTTATCATTATTCTTGACAAGGTAAGAATTATAATACATTCCCAGAGAATTTATAAAAATTAATATTATATATTTATGTTGAAGCTACTGTCTTTGCTTGAAGTAAGAGTACAAAATATTAATATAAATTATATCTAAAGTAAATGTTTCAAAACCAAATAGTTTATAACAATTTTATACCCACAAAACTGTAGTATTCCATGGCAATTCCAAAACACAAAGCCAGCTAAATCTTACTACTTCAGAGCAGGTCTTGAATAAAAAAGGGCCTGCACTTTGAGCTCCCAAACCAAGCTCTTCTCATGAGCTCCCTGCAATTAAGATTTTGAGGGTCCACACCCAACCGCCTTTGCCAAAGGTGAATTAAGGAAGGGGATGGATGGGTTCGGGTTTCGGGCTCTCGGTCTGTGGGCTGGATTCGGTGAAATATTTCCGCTGCCGTCGACGTTCCTGCATGTTAAGTGCGCTTTATATTAATTTTATAATTCATAATTGCATCATGTTGCGCACATTTCTGAGCCAAAACGCAATGGAATTTAATTAAGTTAGCCCTGCAGGTGCCGACGGTCCTTTGTGTGCAGTTTTTTTTGCACTTTTAAAGGCCTCAGGTACTCGGCTTGAATTCTGATTAGTCACGGGCAGCAAAGGGTATACAGTTTTTGGTGGAAAAATGTTCATACAATTTGTGGAATTTTTAAGTTAAAAATAATTAAATTAAAGTTATTTAATTGATTAAAATAGCTTTGGGTATATTTTAAACTTTGACCCACATTTGTAAGCCCCAAATAGAGCGAAAAAATAGCCCAGGATATAAATCGAGCCAAGTTTGAGTCCTGCCACCCGTTGAGAAAAGAGTTTATTTGCCTGAAACTGCCTTCCCGAAGCGACTTTATGGCCAAAATGGTGCCTGCATGTTAGCATAACACTAACCAAGTTACCAGGACAGAGGAGGGAATGGGGAGGGGGGCAAAGGAAGAAAAGGAGCGCGGATGGCCACAGGCATCGCGTCGGCCATCGCATGCTGAGTCAGATGGGAGTGCTGCTCCTCTCGGAGCACTTGGAGTAGATGGGGTGGATGGAGGCTGGAGGATGGATGGACGTGGATGCTTGCACTTATTAATGCTTAATAAATGGCATTTCATTTCTTATTATTCCCGGACTCGGGACGAAACGTGTTGGAGGATTTTATTGCAGCCCTGCTGCCTGGCCCTCTCTGCAGTTGTTGTTGCAGTTGTCGTGGTTAATGCGAGTCGATATATTGGCCATGACTAAGGATGCAGATGCACGCAGGGGCACAGAGAGCAGGAGATATTCAGCTCCATCTCCAGACCCATCTCCAGTCGCTGTGTGCTAAAGTAATTATTTCATTTGAGCCAACAATGAGGCTGCAACTCTGAGTGCCGGCCAACTCGGCCGAGATGGATGATTGACGAGTGGAAATTAAAGAAGCTGGCGGCGGCTGGAACTGTCCGCTCTCTCGCGGTTCCAGTACTAAAACCCGATGCATCTTTTAACGACCGCTTCGTTCGCGTCCGCTTTTAAAGTACTTGGAATGTAAATGAAGCGGGTGCAGCTCCGCCATCTCCGCTCCACCCATGTCCATCTCCCGTCCAGTGCCATTCCATCTGCCGACTCCATTTCGAGGTCACCGTGGTGGTCGTTGCACCCACGCACTGATTGTGCAAGACACCTGAATGCACTCATCCCGATTTTATATGCAAATTTTTTATTATTTAGATGATTTGTATTAAATTAATTAAAATTTTTAAGCAAACATCAAAGAATCTTAATTATTATTCTTTCCATTTTGATATTTGTACTATTTTTGATTTTATTTTTCAAGAATTTTTCATTTTTTAAATGAAGCTTTATATTTGTTTTAAGGACTACTTTTAATGTTAGGCTTGCTACCTTAAATAAATGAATAAATAATAATTAAATCACATAAAATGCAACCACTTAAACCCAACAAGTTGTATTTAATATTATAGAACAATAATATTTTGCCTCCCTGCTTATTTTTCAAATTACCCGCCATATTGCCTATCGACTTATCGACAAGCGCACTGTGAAAAGCGGTATTTTTCTTTGGTATTTTCAACCGAGCGCTAGTGCTGGAAAACAACTTATTTGGTACTTCTCCAGCACTGCCCATATGAAAGTAGAAAAAACAACTCGCGGCGACGCTAAAACGACGACAAATTGTACAATTTAATTGACAAATTTAAACTAAAAGTAGTGCGCGCATTGGAGCAACAAATTAGCCAGCTGAAGGCAATACAACATCACAATTCACGACGCGCAAGAGCTGCCGAAAGGAAAACTAACATGCAGCAGGCGAGTGCGGCACAAACAACTGCCAATTCTGGCGGAGATGCGCTCATGCCGCTGAGAGCCTGCAACACCGCCGGCTGCAAGGTGGCCACCGTGGTGGACAAGACCAAGAGGAAGTGCTGCCAGTTTGTGTCCACCCCGTACATACTGCCCAAGCCCCTGGTCGTCAACGGGCACACATCGATCTTTCAAGTCGGCGGCAAGATGGCAAAAATGTGCGATATTCCGTCCATTTCCCAGGCCACCGGCGGCGATGGAGGCCAGCCCATCTATCGCATCAAGCCGGGCACCCATGCTCACGTCATCAACTATGTGCTCATCGACGATTCGGATTCGCTGGAAAAGTCGCGTTCCGGCGACCAGGAAGCCATGCGCTTGCTGCTCGACTCGCAACGTGACAGTGCCGTGTCCAAGCTGCAGAAGCTGATAGCCAACCATCGGGGCACTGCACCAATTAATAATCCTGTGTCAACGCCAACTAATAATCCTGTTTCAACGCCTACTCCCGCACGTCCCACTGTGGTACCAAGTGCAAGCCCAGCCAGTCGGCATGTCACAACGCCCCAGATTCATCCCGACTTCTCCATTGCCAGCGTAGAGGGTTCGGTGCCCTTCAGGCCAGCTATTGTCCCACCAGCGGCTCCGCCAGTGACAGCATCCACTGTACCCGTCCATGTGGATCGCCTGCAGGCAGAGCTTATGGAGCTGCGACGCAAGGTGGCCCGACTGGAGGAGACCCCACGCCGCTAAACCATCGACATCATTCCCCCTTCCCCAAAAACCAAATACGCTTGAGCTGACGCGGTAGCGCCCTAGATTTAAATCAATAAACTTAGCTGACGCATTGTTAATACAAATAAATAATAAATTATGCAATTCGTAATGGTCGTTAATGTATCCACGCTGCTTACTTTATTGGAAACATTTGTTGGTTTCATAAGCATCAAGCTGAAATCTATTTGTTTTTGAATTTATAATGATTCGAGTGATATTTTCCCATCGGTTGAAAAGGGCATGCCGAATGCGGATTAGCAGAGACCTACATCAACTTGAAGATGAAGCCTGCTTGAAGTTTATTTCAATATATATATATATATTTTTTTTTTGCGTTTTTAAGGGAATATAAAACGAAATTAAAAGGCGCCGCGATGTGAGGAGAGTATATGAAAAGGACGAGAATTAGGACGAGAAGCACGCTTACTACAATTTTAGATTAGAAAAAGATTTAAGAATGTTTTATTAAAGGTTGCATTTATGAAAATATTCTGTAATTGTTTAATGAATGTCCTAGTTATGTACTAATAGTTATTAAAACCTTGGAATTATTTATACAAAAATGTGTCTTAGGCATATTTTAAGGTTTATTTTTTAATTTAGATCAGTTCCCCAGATATACAATAAATTTGTTTATTTTTTAATCACATTCCGAAGGGTTTATTTATTTATTTAAACATCCAAATTGCTTGAAAATAAAAGAAATCGAAGAACATTTTAAAGCCTTTAGCATTTTTGTTTAAGAAACTAGTCCATCCCATATTCTTGCCTTTTTAAAAACTCAAAAGTAAAACCAACAAATGGGATATTAATTTCTGGCAGGCAAACTGGCCAAAACTTCAAAGCAATGAGAGCTTCAAGGTGGAATTGCCGAACTGCAGGTCTCACCAGAGAGCCAAAGATATTAGCAGCAGCAGCCGCCGTCCAGGCGGTGTGCGGTCGTTCCGTCCAAACCCAGTTTCCGATTCCTGGAAAGGTCTATACCGCGATGATCCCCAGGGTTTCTCCTTAGAGCCCAAGAGCCGCCAAATGGCCAATTCTGCAATGGCGGTTACTCGCTCAGTGTTATGTTAGTCTTAGGCTTAGCCGTGTACTGAAACCAAATGGTGCTTTGAGAGGTATATACCCCCTACCCCCTCACTATCGCCATTTTTTCGAGGTGAGCACTTTTATGCTGGCGGAAAGACAAGAGCGAAGTTTGGGATCTTAAGGGGCCGTAAATGTGGCATTTTATGTGTCATCAACGCAGGCGGCGGTCGAGCGCGAAAACCTTGCAATCGAACGTAAATTAATTTTTATTGGTTGCAAATGCGGAGGACTGCCCCGGCTCAGCCATCAACTTATCCCAATCCCCACATGAAAGGTGACCCGATGGCTGACTGCCCCTCCCTCCAGGGGCTCAGCCAGGGAAATCAGTTCAACCAACCAGGAATCAAAATCAATTTAATTTAATTGCTTGATTAAATCGTTAACTTAAATAACTAAGCTAAAAATTATATGAAATTCGGATGATCCTTCTGTATTCAATAGTTCTTTACAATTTCATCTGGTTTCTCTAGTAACCTATAAGAACCATCCACATCCTTGTAATAGTATCCCCTAGCTACATTTCTGCACTGCCTTTCCCTTTCAGGGCTAAGTAAACAAATAAATTTATGTGTGTTTGTATAGGTACAGGAGCACAGGTAGGTCCAACTACTTAGCCGGCGAAGATCAGGACACAATTGTGGGGACACGGCGGCCGAATCAAATTCGATACGCCAGCGGTGTGATCCTCCTCGCCGGGAATGTATAAAAAGTAACGAATGTGCGCAATAATAAAAATCATTAAAATAAAAATGTTTATGAGAAGGCATAAACACGACTTTATGGAGGGAGCAGGAAAAGGAGTTGGCGGCGAAGCTGCAGGGATCGGGCGTCCGGCTGGTGGTGGAGTTGGGGCACTTGATGGCTGGACAGCAGCTCATCCGAGGATCGGCGGGCCGGCAGGGAACAAGAGTGTCAATGGGTAAAAAGCATCTCAAGGAGACTCGGGGGCCTGAAGGGTAAGGCAACCCTCGCACACAGATACGAGAGGCAGCCGGCCAGGGTATTGGGATGCTAACTCATTTTGGCGGCGGCTTCTGCTGCTTCGGAACCCGGCTTCAGCTGGAGTTGAGGCTAAAGCCGGGTAAGAGATCGGGACTGAGAGGCAGGCGCAGGCGCTCGGCTCAAAAATAATTTGCAATTTCTTGGAAATACTCACTTTTGCGCTGCCTGCGCGGATGCGAACATCGGTGCTCTGTCGTCGCAGGCGCAGCTTCTCAAGAACCTTTAGTGGTTGAAAGGTGGCGACGGGGAATGGTACAAGGCACTGAGAGAAACATTTCGGGTCATTTAAAGGGGGGGGTGATTCAGAGAAATATTACACAAAAATCTGGACTATTATAGCTTGCTAATTATTTTTCTATAAGAAATATTGTATCGTATTTTTATAATTAAAAATAAATTTAGGGGTAAAATGAGTACAAAAAATATTTTATTTATAAATGTCAAGAAGGTTCTATATCTCGGAAGATTAAAAACTCCTTTGAGATAACTACAAAAAACAGCTACTGAAGAAGCTTCCTGTATTTGAAAATTTCAAGTCAAACTTTATATTGAAATATAACTTTAAGAATTGAATTATATTAATAAGAAATTTTAATTAGTAATTTACAATTATTAAATTAACTAAATACCCTATTTTAATATTATTTTCTCGCTGTGTTGGGCGGGTAAGTCAAGGTGGCCGTAATGAAAATTAAAATACGAAACACTCAGGCAAAGGTCGGCCGGAGAGGGAATGCCAGGAGCCAATGAGCGGTACAGGGTGTCCCCTGGCCATCTCCACTGCTCTGTCCTCCTTGTCCCCAGCAGCTCCTCCTGAATCCTCCTCGCCGCTGTGGTGGTGAGTCGCTCGCTCGCTCGCTCGGTCGGATTGCTTGTCGTTATCTTGTCATGTCAAAATGGTCTTACGAAAATGTATCTTTTGTATTCCAAGTGCAAATGAGCAGCACAGATACAAAACAACAGTGCTTCCTCCGCGCCGAGGATCACCCTCTTCCTCCACCGGCCAGTGGTCAGCATTTTGTTTCGCGTCTTTTTCGCTCTCCTCGATTTTTATTTGCTTTGCTCACTCGCAATTTTTATGCCTTTATTGTGTTTACTTTTTGCCTTCGTCGTCGCCGTTGCCGTTGCCGTTGCCATTGCCTTTTGGGCTGCAAATGCTTTTAAGACTTTAAGACTTTTTAGTTTGTAGTTGAGCGTACAAATTTGTGACCCCTCCAATCCCGCACAATCCCTGGCGAGTGGAGCAGGAACAGGATCGCAAGTGTGCGAGTGTCTGTATCTTTTTCAGTGACTCTTGCTTGCACGGAAAACAATTGCTGGTTTTCTTTTTTACTTTGGCATTTTAAAGATATTTTAATTTGCTAAAGTTTTTTTTACTTCAATTTCAAAATAATTATATACCTAATTAACCTCTTCTGGCGACCGTGAAGCATTAAGTAAGACTGCATTTCTTACTTGGAGGTATCTTCCTTTGTTAATTATAATTAATAAAATATATATAGAAAAACAATAGTAAAAACTATACTAATTAATTGTTAATTAAAGAAAACTTACAAAATATATTAAAAATTTATTTTCTGGCGATCATAGAGCTCTAAGATATACTTTATTACGCACTTCCTTAAAAGTTGCCACTTGCCTTTGTTCATTTTTAATTTAAATATATTTTTATTTAAATCTTAAATTTATTAAATTTTTATTAACCAAATTTTTCTGAAGTGCATTGTGGTGATGCTGATGATGACACAACATGAAAAGGTAAAACACGCTGAAAAATATTAAATACGCTACGTCGCTGCCTCTTGACAGCGGACGTAAATTTGCTTTTGCCTGCGTTCCTTGCACCGCTCCTCTGCCGCGTCCACCCCCCGTACTTGCTCCTCATCCTCCTCCTCGCGGATTGTTTAATTGCACATGAGATCGGTGAGACCTGAGACTGAGACGTGGACTTGGTTTTGGCCTGGGACCTGCAGCATGGAAGGAGCCTCGGAGGATCACGCGGCAATTAAAATAGAGTGTAAGTTAAGGATGCATAAAACGCTCATCTTTATGAAGCCAGCTCTATATTGTCATTCCTACACCGCGACCAAGACGAGTCCTGCGTTCCCTTCGTACTCCTTATCCCATGCCATGCCGGCCATGTAATGGCCTGATTCGCCAGTGGCAATAATGCATATAGTTGGGTTTCAGGGAATTCAGATTCACAGATAAGTAGCTGATTGCTCTTTCTTCCCTTAAAAAGCCCTGTTCCTCCTTTGAAGTATTTTATAGTCTAGTTGAGGAGCATAACTAAGTGAAATTGAAACAGGGATATACACTTTATTTCCACCTATTAATTCCACGAAAGGAAATTAGTGTGTTTATCGCATATAAACCCAGACTTCAACTCGCACAATTTGATATATTTCGCATGATGCCATGTTCGTGTTGCTTGAAGGACATACGTCGGAACTTCTTTCGGTTTCAATTTTGAAATGTGTCAAATTTGCGGGCAAATAAATGAAGTTAATTAAATTTTGAATCCATTGTGCATGTGAAGTCAAAATCAAATCTTGCATATCGCCGCCCTCACACAGTATTCGCCAAAAAACAAAGCCCAAAAATGGAGAAAACACACATGCGAACGAGTTTAGATGTATAACTTGCTCCCATTTCCCACAATTGCCCAATTTTGGTTGGAGATGGAGTTAGGATTACACTGAGAAAAGCTATTGATATCATATAAAATATAAAGAAATTTTATTTAATTTTATAAATAGGCAGAGTGTTAAATATATTGCACTTAGCAACTTAGATTATATTTCCAGTCATTATTTTGATATTTTTTAATATCCTAAAGATCAGAAAAGATCGAATTATATTTAAACATCACAATTTTTAGCTCCATTTACATTTTCTTTAAGTGTACATTGGATTTGCCTTCGTTTCCTGCAGTGCCCCACAAAACGAAGTCAACAAAAAGAGCAACACACATGAGGGGAATAACAACAACCGGCAGGGAATGGCTGTCAGCATCGTTCCTCGCCAGCACC